ATGTCTAGTTTCTTTAATGTCCAATCAAGCTGCCAAGCTTGTGTCATTGTCCTATTGTAGTATAGTTGCATCTTTTCTCTCCGCTAAAAATATTACTAAGGTCACAGCTCAAGTGAGTTCTCATTTCATCAATCAAAATTCAAACTTTCATGAATAGCCATTCAGCATCCTTTTATTATAACTTAATTCTCAAAAAATTTTCATTTATATACTTTTTTTCCCCTCAAGCATCAATGCTTTGGTGTTTTTTCTCATCTTCATGATTTCCTGACTCATACATTTTGTTGAAAAATCTTCTATTTACAAATTTTTTTGTTTTTAACTTTTTCTTTGTTTTCTGTTAATTTAAATAGCAATTGCTTGCAGCCTCGTTCAGTGTGAAATAAGAAAAAAAAAAGTAAAAAAAAAGTAAAAACGAACTTTAACAAAATATAGCATACAGAAACATAATTTAAAAAAGGCGTTACAAGAAAAAATAGAAACTAGTTTTATAGTGTTATTATTGCCTAAAAGTTGACTAGTCACAAGATGAAATTAGTCAACTTTGAAAAATTGAATATACGATTTAATTGACTATGGATTTTCTACTAACCAACCACAAGTCAATTTAGTGGAACAATCTTAAATTTAGTGGAATAATCTTGAAATTTAGTGGAATCTTGAAAACCTTATATATAATTTAATCTTTAATTTTTGTTTCTTTATTGAATAACAATAGCATGTATTATTTTTACATGCTACTTAGCTTTTTGTTTTCTATCTTAAAGTTTCACCTGATCTATAGCATGTTAGCAATTTTTATACTTAATTTCAGTTTATTCAGATTATTAATTTCATTATTCTATTTTTGTCTATGTATGCAATTTTCATAAACACTTTCAAACAAGACCTGTTCCAAGGTGACTTGGGGCCTTGTTACAAAACCAAATTGCAAAGCTCCAAAATCTAAATGCCATTTATACAATCAGGTTGTAAAAATGATTGTATATTAAATACATCGTAAACCTTTTTGATATTTCTCAAGTATTTAAGATGGCTATATATATTATATTATAAGTATTTAAGATCATTAGGGGTTGGCAATAAATTGTTTTATTGTTGGAGTGACCCTGCTCTCATATTGTTTTGTTCCTTTAACATTTAAATGAAATGGTGTTCAAAAATAAAAAACAAATAAAAATTACTTTATAACTTTTATTAAAACTTCAACAAAAATTTTGACTAAATTAACTTTTATTCATCTTATTATTATTTATTATTTATAGTTTCAAATCAATAAATTTTTTTCATCTTGTTACATAAGTGCTAATATACAAGTATGCTTAATGCTTATAACTTTATACAAATGGAATGCCGGATAAACCAAGGGGTTATCCGGCATTTTTTTGTATATTATTTTTTTGAAGGGTCAAGCCTGTAGGCAAAAATAATTTAAAGAATTTTTTTAGTAAACTATATGTAACAAATTTATAAAAAGATGATTTTTTTAGTTTTGAAATTGCTTTTTAACAAAAGTTTTTTCATATCTTTATGTTTTTTGGTTGATCATAGAATATATGCCGATTTGAATAGATTAATTAGTTTATGAGTAGTAGGCAAAGATTTTGTTAAGCCAAAATGTAAAAACAAAAATTGTAGATTTTTTTTTGTTTTTATTTTATTTTTTTGGTTCATCCTTCAACAATTGCCCCCTCATTTTTTAAAAAAAAACTTAATTGTAAGAAAGCAAAAAGAAAACAATAATGCTGTGTTAAAAGTTTTATGAAATAAATAGTTTATATTTAAATGAGTATAAGTTTTTTAAAGATAGGAAATTTTTTTTTCAAACAAGATTTAAATTTTATTAGTAATTTTTTTTATAATAACATTGTTTAATTTAAAAATATTTTATAATTATTTTATAAAAATAAATATTTTAAATGACTTTAAACGTGGTTTTGAATTAAATTTAATTAGGCCTACGTATATATATATATATGCAACCCTCGGAACTAAATAAAATGAGTTCGACAATAAATCGTCGAGCTCAAACTGTTAGTTGTCGGTATCAGGTCGGCAAAAATATTTTGACACAAAGCTTACCATAAGACATAGAAATGAGGTCAGTGTTTTTTTGTCAATCTTAAACACTTTTAGGTGTTTGCAATGCCAACCCTAATTCTGAGGGCTGTATATAAATATACATATATATAAATATACATATATATATATATATATATATATACATATATATATATATATATATATATATATATACATATATATATATATATATATATATATATATATATATATATACATATATATATATATATATATATATATATATATATATATATATATATATACATATATATATATATATATATATATATATATATATATATATATATATATATATATACATATATATATATATATATATATATATATATATATATATATATATATATATCAGGCCTTCTCGTAATAGGCGTGCAATCGGACGCTTTATATGACCACGCATATAGTTTTTTGTTTTAACAACTTGACCATGGTTCTTTGCAAGTTTCGATAATTAGCGCGTTTAAAAAATGCGCTTAAAGAAAACAAAGCAAATGTAAAGGCAATTTTTAATTTAATTGATTCCATAGTTACAATTAAACTGCCATAAAATTTCCTGAGTAACTATAATGCAACTTAATATAAGCAATCATTGAAAAAAATATTCAGATTAGAGTTTAAGGCAAAATGAATACAGAAGCTATCAAAAAATAATTACAAACCTTTTTATCATGGAACTATAACTTCTAATAAAAGAATTATTTACTAAAAAAAAAAGAATTACAATAGTCTAGAAATAGTCGCATTTGCCAACTATTTTTTATCCCAGGGCGTGACGTACCGTTTTTTTTAATGAACGTTGACTTGCGTATCTTTATTTATTGACAAACGTCTAATTTAAGAGATTTATGTCAAACAAATTTCAAATAATTTTTATTCTAGTTAATAAGTTATCAAATATATCAAAGATGCTTGGTAAATTTATTCAATTATTATTTTTCAAAAACTTTTTTTTTACACATTTGCAAAGCGCGCGCAAATTAATGATAAACGCACAATAAAAAAAACTTTTAAAAGTGTTTTTAATATGCAAACAAACATTATTTCAGTTTATGGAAAATAAGAAAATTAAAAAAAAAAAGCATGCACAATTTTATTTGTAATGAAATCATTTGCTTTACCAAGCTTAAACATTACGACCAAGCTTATACATTACGAGAAGCTTAAACATTACGATCGCTTTCTTCAATAAAAGAAAGCAATCTAATTGTTTAAGGACGGTTTCTTTTGAAGCTTTTGCAAAAACATGTATTTTAAGTAAAATTATCATATTTTTGTGAGTGCATACAAAAACCATGCTAAAACATAACTACTTTTTTTTATTATTTTACTTAAAAGTGACACAATTGAAAAAAGTTGTGGCATTTTTTAAAAAAAGTCTCTGCAATTAATTTTTTTTCATTTTGAATATGTGTTTTTTGTAATAGATAAAAAACTATTGATCGCAAAATTATTTTGAAAAAATTGCTGAAGTAACGTGTTTGTTTTGAAAAATCTTAATCAAACGGCATTGTTTGCATAAGCAAACTTAAAAAAACGTGATGTTTGTTTTTCTGTCTGTCTTGAAAAAATGCGCGCACATTTGTCGATTTATTGCACCCTGTATCCTATTAACTTTTTAATGAAATTTTAAATTTGCACCACAAAATTTTA